TAGTTATTTAGTTATGTTCTATGGTTTTTCCGATTTTTACTTTTTGTTTACTTAATTTTAGTGATGTACGGGAAAGAAGCTCAAAATTATAAATTTTTAATTATATTAAAAAATTAATAAATATTTATATTTGTAATTATATATATACTTCTTCGAATGATTGCAAATTCCCTATATGTTTTTTGCCTTTATTCTAATATCATAAATTAATATTTATTAAGGGAATTGCTATTTCCACCATGATGGATCACATGATACAAATTGATTGCCGTGAATCTCTGATCAACAATAAATACCACGTGACCGATTTTTCTAGAACCGATTGCGTGATCATATGATGCTCACACTTTGCGTTACTCATGTGATGCTCACATTTTGCGTTATTCACGTGATCACATGCACATGAATTATTGGCTAGATTTCATGCAACATAATAACAATAACAAATGTAACGGTATATACAAGACCACTTGTATAAAGCTTACCCTGATGCAAATAATCTAAACTGTCTGTTATGATCATTTTTTTTTACAATTGCAGAACTGCACAGAGATCCAAGTCTTGCATATAGTGATTCATGGTTCAAAAACTGTTAAGAAATGTGATTCACGGTTCAAAAACTGTTAAGAATGGCCAACATTAAGAAAATTATACTTAAGTATTGTTACATATTTTAGTAGCATATTATGCGAGTCTAATCACTAACTGCTAATCCTTAAACCTAACTTAAACAAAGGTTGGATGCCTTAGCAAAATTTGTTCTGAGCGTTAATGTAAACAACTGTTTGGGTAAAGTATATAATGAATATTTTTTTAGAGCATAATGAAGTCTTTCGCTCAGCAGGAATGCAAAAATTAATACTTGCTGTTTATTGAGGTATATATAATTTAGGTACCATATGTTACTGACCTCTAGATTTTGGAGCAAAAATTTGACTAAGGTTATGTTCTACCAATAAAATTATACCCGAATATAAGCAATCCCTTCATTTTGGCTCGAAGAAATTTCTTTTTTTTTTGCAACATTTTGATTGCTTTTATTATATAATATATAGTAGTTGTATAAAGCCTAAATAAGGTGTGTCTGTTGCTAATTCAAACTACTCATAATAGTCGAAGTGAATTTCAGAACGAAGAGATGTTTCAATTTGTCAAGTGATTTTTAAATGAAGGAAACCAGAAAATGTAGTGCTAGAACTTTTACCAATATATTAACTTGTCGCTGCTGTTTAAAATCTGGATTTTATTGCTTGAGTTATTAGTTCTTACAATATATTTAGTCTTTTTTTGATTATAAATAAAATTTCTGATTTATTGATAATATCTACAATATACAGTATAAGGATTGCATTTATACTCTAATTAAATATATTCGCGCTTTTACATTGTATTTGTACTATATTATTATTTCAAAATATTTAATAGATTTTTTAATTACTATGTAAATAATAGCAACAGAGTTATGCGTAAGTATATAACAGTTTTAAATTAGCTAAGACTATAGAGTTCTATAATATTAATTGCTTGACAGTATTAACAATGTAACTTGAGAGTGCTAGTCAAAAAAATAAACCAATTAAGTTACAAATATGAATTTTCAGCAAACAAGGTGTCTATTATTATATGATGCATATATGCAAAATTTCTGAATTGGCCAATAGTATTAATATTAATTATGCAATTCGGAGGTGCTAATTGAAAAAGTAATATGTATTTACTAACTAATGTTAGTTATGTGATTTGGACGTGCTAACTGAAAAAATAAAAAGTAATTATAATTACGAAAAATCTTTTGGTTGATATGCGTTTCTATGTTACTAATAGTTGAAAATATAAATTATACAATGTGGACATGCTAACTGAACAAGTAAAAAATAATAATATTACTAAAAATCTTTCAATAAATATGTATTGCTATGTTGGGCATACTAGCTGAAAAAATAAAATTATAGTCATTAAAAAATCTTTTAGCTAAAAAAGTAAAAGCAATTATAATTACTAAAAAAATCTTTCAGCTGATACTGTTTCTATGTTACTAATAGCTAAAAATGTTAATTATATAATTTGGACGTGCTAAACTGGAAAAATAATAATAATCATAATTACTAAAAATCTTTTGGTCGATATGCATTTTTATATTATTAATTGTTAAAATGTAAATTGTGCGATGTGGATGTGCTAACTAAACAAGTAAAAAATAATAGTAGTTACTAAAATCTTATAATAAATATGTATTTCTATGTTGGATGTGCTAACTGAATAAATAAAAAGTAATTATAGTTACCAAAAAATCTTTTAATAGAATTGATAAGATTGATTATTTATTGGTTTAGTTGATTTTTGTAATTTTCTCACTAATTGTTTCAGAATGACTGTGAAGACCATAACTAATGATAAACTAAAAATAGGTAGAATCTCATATGATGCTTAAGTTGTAGATTGAACTTCAAAAATATAAAAAGAACACACAAAATCTAGTGAAATTCATCTTATCGAGTTAGAAATAACTAAAAAATCTACCTTTCACTTTACCCTAACAAAGTGCTCTAAAAGTTTTATAAATCTTCACCAATTAAAAATTGTTAATAAAGTATTAATTAAACATATAAAACTTTCACTTATGTGCTTAAATATTGCAATATTAAATTTATCATAGTAAACAAAACAAATACACTTATTATATATCTTGTCACTTCTGAAAATATCAACCATGTCCTTCGGAAGGTTACTTTACAAGCCATGATGATCTTATCGATCATGCTAAAACTCATGCCTTTAGTTATAAATATATAGTGATCATTAAAAGATCAGAAAGACAAGTTTGTTTACTTATGGTGCGACAGAGGTGGCCAATACATTAACAAATTGAACCTTGATAATGAAACTCGCCAGAGAAATACAAGTATACAATTAATAGGCTGCCTTTTTGAGCTCTATGGAAAGAAGATGGATAATGGTCAATGGCATTTAACAATAAACAATAGAACTCATATTCATGAGGCATCAAAAGACATTTCAGACCATCCATCTAGTCATCAATTGAATAATGATGATCAACAAAAAGTCCAGGAAATATCTACAGTAGGTATACATCCTTGAGAGATACTATCTACTCTCTGTCAAAGCAATCCAAATAACTTTGTAACTTTGAAAACTATTTATAATGCCTGGGATAAAATTCGACATGATAATCTTCAAGGTCGTACACCAATTCAAGCTCTTCTTAATGAGCTTGTAGATGAAAATCTCAAACATTATTATCAATATGATCAAGATGGAAATTTAACTCACCTTTTTTTTGCACATCCAAAATCAATTATACTTACCAAAACATATAACTCCATTCTCTTAATGGATTGTACCTATAAAATCAATAAATTTAAAATACCACTATTTCATGTCATTGGCATGACAAGTTTTAACACTACATTCTCTTCCTGTTTTGCATTCTTAAAATCAGAGCAGGAAGAAGATTACAAATGGGCTCTTATATGTGTTTCTCGTATTTTTGGTAACATCCCAAAGCCCCAAGTTATCATGACAGATCGTGAATTAGCCTTAATGAATGCAATAAAAATAGTATTTTCAGAGTTAAAAAATCTTTTGTGTGTTTGGCACATTGAAAAGAATGTATTGGTTAATTGCCAGCATCATTTTCAAACAGATGTTGAATAGTCAATATTCATAGAAAGCTGGTTTACCCTTATAAAATCCAAAACTGAACCTGATTTTGGGAAAAATTAGTAGAAAACTACAATAAAAAACAAATAATTATCGAATATTTGAAAGAAATCTGGTTTCTATTTAAAACAAATTTTGTGAGCTGTTGGGCTGACCATTACTTGCATCTAGGTATTTAAGTTTTTTTATTTGAGGATTTTCTAAACCTTTTTAGCATTCTTTTTTTAGCATTCTTCTTTTCTTTTCTGCTATTCGGCATTATTCTTTTTTTTCTTTTTTTTTTCTTTTTTTTTTGTTATTCTAATCTTTTTATTTCTAATTTCATAGGTAATACAATGACGTCTCAAGTAGAAGGGGCCCATGCAATGCTAAAAATGTACCTTCAGGTATCAATAGATAATCTTCTTGTTGTCTATGAGAAAATTACTTTAGCGTTAGAAAATCATTATCAAGAAATTAAAACCAAGTTCTCCCAAGAAATGATTCGAATACCCCATGCACTAAACAAACCATTCTATGCACAGGTTGTTTTCAAGGTGTCAGAATTCACATTAAAAAAGTTCATGAACAATTTTTAAAAGCATCTAATACAATACCAGAAAATCCACTGCGACTTTGTAGTAGTACTTTTAAATCATCAATGGTCCTACCTTGTTCTCATGTAATTCGGGAATTTCTTGATAATAACAAATGTTTACACCTTGACAATTTTCAATGCCAATTGTCTCAACAAGAAACACCTGAAACCGAAGTTTCATTACGTCAAAAATGAGAAGAGTATAGCCAAAAATTCAACTCCTTGCCACCTTCTCAAAAAAGTTCAATTCTGAATGTAATGTCATGCATATTTCAAGAGTTGACTGTAATTGTACAAGATCCACAGGTACAACCCACAAGAGGATGTCTGGTAGGTGCAAAAAACTGACTCCAATCGTTGACTAAAAAAGATCCGTTTACCTTTAAGTTGATTATATCAAAAAAGTACAATAGAAAGTACGGTGTATGTTGTGGAGTTGGGCACAATAGTAGAACATGCCCTAATTCTGAAAATTTAGATGAAGAATATAACAGGAAATGTGGTATATGTCGTGAGATTGGGCACAATATTAGAATATGTCCTAATGTTGAAAGTTCATATGAAGAGAGTAATGACGATAGTAATGACGATAGTTAAGTTATCACAAATATCTTTTTTTTTTTAGCCAGAACATTATTAACACAACATCTTTCTCTGATTTTCTGATAAAAGTATAAATTTTGTTTCCTTCCATTTTTCATTATAATTTTATATTGTAAATGCTTAATCGGTTATGAAATAAAGACAATATTAATCGTATTATAAATACAATTAAAATTACAAAATTCATAAGATTCTGTATGTAACCTTCACAATAATTGTATGTGAATACAACGCATAATACTAGCCACCCAATTTTAATTCTACTTATAGCTTAAGCCACCTAAGTAATAAATTTCAATAGAACTTTTAAAGATTCGATTTATTATATTCATGGATCTGTCTAATGTTACAGTCTAAAAAAAAAAATCGTTATTTGGTCAAAGCCAAAATCCAAGATCAAGGGGTATAATTTTATATCAAAGCAGTATACATTTAAACTCTATTATTAGCGCTAATAGAAAAAAATTGCAATATTAGAATTACTAAAATCGTAAATACAAGAGGAATTTTTTAGATTGAAAACAAATTATCCAGTATAATACATAGTAATAGTAGCCATTACTGTATTATAGGTATTAAAATTTAATTGAACTGACCATATGCATAATGGTGATTACGTAATCACGTGAGTAATGCAAAGTATAAGCATCACGTAATCACGCGATCAGTTCTAGAAAATTCGGTCATGTGGTATTTATTGTCACAGATTAAAATGAAATCTGATCAAAATGAAATTTTTCTGTTTTTTAAAAAAATATATAATTTTTTGGGGGACATTTTTTGGGGTTCTTTTTAGCATTAGGGGTAGGGTTTAGAGTTAGGTTTATTAATAAATAAGTATATGTG